TGCGTGTGCGTGTACGTGCGTGCATGCGTGTGCGTGCGTGCGTGTGTGTGTGTGTGTGTGTGTGTGTGTGTGTGTATGTGTTATTAAGTGATCTTCGTGAACAAATCTTCAGTCGCATCGTAATTCAAGCCGTTAAGAGTTTGATTTAGGATTTTCTTAAATTCGTGGTTATTAAGATTAATAACAGTTTTAACATTGTTAAATAATTTATTATAGAGCATTCGTGCACAAAAGTTGTAGCTTTTTCTTGCAAACACGGTCCTGACCCTAGGTACGGGTAGTAGTGTTACTCGTTTGTTATTTTTAGGAAGACCAGGCACAAAAAGGCGGTGATACCTACGGAGACACTGATATATAAATAATTTACGTACTGATAACATACCGCACCGCTTGTACAGGTAATATGTGGGGTATTTAAAAGGCAACCGCAGCATAGCTTTAAGGACGGTGCGTTGTGCACGCTCTAGTAGAATGAGGTGTGTATTTGCTGCGCACCCCCAGACGCAAATACAATATGAAATAATGCTCTCACACAGGGACCTATAGGTTAGCAAAAGAACATCATAACTAGCCATATTATCTAAATTTTTAAATATGTAAACTAGCATCCTTAAGGCTTATATTATGAATAGTACACATGCTTCCAAAAAACGAGAAGAAGAGTAAATTAATGCGTCCAATGTAATCAAACAATGTATTTGAATTGTTTCAATGAAAAATCCCTATACCATCACTAGGCGTAACACAAACTACGCTATTTTTTACTGCGGCCGGGTATGTAATCGATACCCTAAATTGATTTTTTATTTACTCTGTAGTTTATCTATGTATGTCTGTCTGTAGTTTATATATATATGAATGTATACTAAGAAAAAGCAATTGCTTAGCTAGAACTCACAATATATTATAAGAATAATATCCTTGATTTTGAGCTTGATATACATGTTTCAAAAAGCTATATTTTTGTAAGGCTGAAAAAGTCTCATACGCACAATAGTAAAGTTAGCATATGAGTTCTAATCAATCTCCAAAGCACCAGCTGAAAGTTCCTTGAAAATGGCCTCACAGCTAACGTGTTAATAAATCATTTGTCGTGAAATATTTTCATATTATATTTTATTTTATTTGAAGGTTTCACTTCTACCGCGTGTGAATTGCACACATCATGTTTTTATTTTTACAAGTTAGGTTTTTATAATGAAAAACTTATAATGAGTAGAATACGTAGAGTTTTAGATACGTAAAATTTACGAAATTTCTACCCAATAAAAATGTTTCGTCTATCAAAATAAATATCGAATAAAAATCTAACATCCGATTGGTAGTAAATATGAATGAGGGATCTTTTTATACTTTTAGATTCTTAAAAACGGCGCGCGCGTGCTTTCACCCGGACGGCGGAGGTGTTAATACGTCCTGAATCGCGCTATTTTCATCTCAGCGCTCGTGTCGGACGGATCTGTAGTCCTACTGCGCGTAGTACTAGACTCGTAAAAGACCTCCTCTTAGAACCACATCATGTTTCATGAGAATATAATTGCTCTTTTCAGAGCTAACTATTCTGTGTTTCACGTTACGACGAGTGTAGCTACATATTCATAAAACTGAAGTGACAAACGAAAATGAATGATTGCATTCATTTCATGTCATTTCACTCTTGCGACTGGAAAGTAGAACACTCGTGATTATATAACGATTACAATGTTCAAAGGAGAAAGGACTTTATCACTTGTTTCCGTTCAGGATTCAAATCCATGACTAAATGTTTTACCACTGCACTACGGAACCATGAATCCAAAGAGTGAAGACGAACCTAACTACACATCACACCCCAAAATAAATAACTCCCAAAGACTATACTCTCATTAATAAAAAGAAAATCATACACACGTAAACAAATACGTCAGATTAATAGACTGAATAAAATTGCAGAAAATGGTAGATTTAAATAAACTAATTGTATTATAGTAAATTATTAAGATTTTTTCAAATTACAACATTGATCCGAACCATAGATAGTTTAATTATTTTTTACTATGTAAGGCTGAACGCACATTTGTCAGCACCGTACGCGCCGCATTTAAGAATTCATTGTATGCAATCATATGAAACTTTGCACATTACACCCGCAACGTATGCGCCGATTTTTATAAAATACGGTAGGTATCAGAGTATTGAAGGATGCATGCTGATGACTTCATATAACGGGGCGCGTTAGGTGCGTGTTGATCATGTTGATTTACTCCGCTAGGAGTAAAAGTATTCTGTGGTGTTGATACTTAGTTTTGTCTAATGTAGCCTACTTAGCAGATTTTCCACTAAAATTGGTAGTTTTAACTTTCATTTCAAAATATATTTTATATTGGTTTTAGTATATGTAGCAATTCTTGAAATATCTGATAAATCGTTTGTGATCATTTAATAAGAATTTAAATAAAGTATAATATTCTCCATACAACTGCCTTTTTAAATTAATATTAAGAAACCTGAATATTCTTCTTCTTCGAATTTTATTTTCTTCTTCCTCTTTCAATAAGCAGGCTATTACAATATTTTTTCCCATAGCGATCCGAGCGATTCCGAGCGATCAATGTCATTGAATTTCACACCAGTGGTTGGAAAAAACTGCAAAGTTGTTGGCAATACAAAATATTTGCGTACGGCACGGACGGCGCGTACGTACAAATGTGCGAGGGCATCAGTAAAATGCGGCGCGTACGGCGCTGACAAATGTGCATTCAGCTATATGTGCATAGATAAAGAATTTAATTTAAAGCGAGTCATAGACACAGCATGGATAATGTATATTTGTTTGTATGTGTATATATGTACATTCTATAACATTGTATATTTTCTTTTTCATCTGACGATACAAGTGCGGGAAGTGTGAGAAATGGTTAATCGAAACAAGGCCTATTAATATTTCATTTAGCAGTAATGAATGTTTATTTTACAAAAATATTAACTGCTAATATATGAAAAGTGTTAAAAAATCTTATAATTTAACGTATAGTGTACGATCTCATAGTGAAATGTGGTCGATGACAGTGTAAAACGGTGCTCGCTACGTAAGTATAATTTTGCTAAGTTGAATTGTACCTTTTCTTCGATCATTAGTACGTTGCTGCTATGGTATTTTCTATTTTGTCGTATTTGCAATTTGACAGGTAAATTCAGGTGATCATTTTGTAGCAGAGCAGATCGGGTTGTAATTAAAGAAAGCAAGATTTAACGATTTAATTGTTTTATAATTAGTATATTTATAATTATTAATATCTTCCACTTAAGTGCTTTTCAAGAAGTGTTAAAGAAAGGTATGTTACTGATGCCCAAGAATATTGAAAAAACATGTTTTTATTTGCCCTTGTTGGTTGCAAAATCTCGATTCCTTTGTCATACGTTGTATTTCACTTTTACTTTTATCAAATAGCTTTGTTTGTATTCTACTCTTATTTAACATTTTATTTTTCTATTTACCATCTTTTTCTAAACGCGGGTAGAAGTAGTATCCAAGCAGTAGTTGCAAAATTTTTACCAATATTATGAGCATATTAACTATGAATAATAAAATAAACTTTACCCCCCTATGATGCGCTCTTTGAGGAATGCCTATGTTCATCTGTGAACTTTTTATGGCTGTAATGAATGAATGAAAGAAAGTTTACACTAGGTTAATCTTAAATTTTTGTTTAGCTATTTAAAAAAATATAGTTTACTAGTATAAATGATGTTTATTTATTGACACTAATATTTATTTTTAAAGAAATTTTTTGTGTGCTTAATATGTTTTATAGGTTATTTTCTTCTAATAATTTACCAATTACATACTGCATTATTCATTAAATAAATTATAGGTTAAAAAATATTCTTATGTACTTTATAATATGTATTAATAGATGGTCAATCTTTTTGATAGTGTTAAAATAAAATGTTACCACTGTAATTCTCTTAATATATAAACATTTATGCTGATTTTAGATCGGACAAATGAATGAACAGGATGGAAATGTAAACATAATTTTTTTTTTAATTACAGTCTATCAAACACTGCTGAACTTGATGGATAGGGGGATATTTGCCGTACTTGACAGAGACCTTGGCAACCACAGTTTTTTATTATTTTGACTTGTTACCTGAAAGATGTTGCTGCCCATAGTAGATTCTCTTATGCCAGCACTAAATGAGTGTAATTATTATTATGTAAATTAATTAAATGAAAATATTATTATGTTTCATTGTATAAAATTTCAAATTATTATTTAAAAGTGGAGTCCTGCTGGGGTTCTTGCTGGATTTTCTCAAGATAGAGGCTTTTTTGAAATTAGCGGTAAAAGCATAAATGTCTTTCAATAGGTATTACTTGTAATCAATATTGTGGGAAAATTATTTTATTCTATTTCTATTCATATAAGTTGGGGTTCTTGATCTTTTCAAATTGTATTTAATAATATTATATCTATCTTAATCTTGCGTAATTTTGCTTTTAATCAATGTTTATCTAAGGCAATTATAACATATCTTGGAAAGAATTTAGAAAGTCATAAAAGAAAGCTTGAGATATGCAGCATGGATCTAGTGCAGCTAGGAAGGATATCAATGTTATTTCACCTCCCCTTATAAAACTTTTTACGTTTTTTTATGCAGAAAACAAAATCAATAGTGTTTAATAGTGTTGGCTTTTAACTTTTGGCCCAGCCTAGAATAAGATTTTGGTTACCCACACACTTAATACTTGTATAACTAGTTACATAAATATTTTACTTTTTTATTTTAATACTTAACTGTATGTTCTTCTTTTTTACAGAGTTAACAAACACAGACCAGAATTCAACCCGAAAGTGCCGTTCCATTTAAAGAAATAAACAAATTATGTTATTTTAAATAACAGTTAACTGTGATCTCTGTTTTGTGACTAGTTATATTTTTATACTCGTATGAATCGTGGTGGGCTTTAGTGCAATTTGTTTGTTTCCTATTTATGAACGAGTGTTGAGAAAAGGATGAGTTCAATCAATTCAAACAATGTGAGGCCACAGTTGCCTTTGCGGCAAATAGACTTAGACCAGGTGAGTATCTTTATTTTATTTTATAAAAGATACTTGAGCACTTAAATTGTCAAAAAATGCACTACATAATATCCTTTAAAATTGTGAGACCTAAGACTATAAATAACTTATCTACAGCTTCTTTCTTCAATATCTTTATTTTACCACATTTTTATTAAGTTACTTTGTTGTTTGTCTGTCTGTCTGTTGTTCTGCGTAGAATTTAGTAAGTGATTTTAAAGTAACTTCCTGATGACTGGGAAACATGAAATTTTGAATATAGCTCAAATGCAAGAATATGATAAAAAACGTGGTAATTTTTTTTTTAAATTCACTTGTTTAAAATGTTCATTTTGGTTGATATATTGATTGACATGGGTTGGTACACAATGCCATGTTTCAGTCCGTATTTTGCGTGTGGGCATTTAATTCTTAAATATTATTCAAGCCTGAGCTTTTTGAGGAATATTACATTACCAATGATCTTGGGGAGTGACCTCAGAGATCCAAGGTACTTAGCTCTGTAGCTGGCAACCGCTGAACAATCAAGTAAAACGTGGGCTGCTGTTTCCTCATGCCCTATGCAGCCTCTGTTGGAGGGGCTGTCTATAACTCCTAAAGCAAAGAGATGTTTGTTAAATGAAACCATGTCTTGTTATGGCCGCGGTGACCAGTGAGATTGTTGACAGGTGAGGTTTGTTAACTCTGAGCACCTTTTATACATGTTGGTGTTGTTTGTAGGCAGAACTGCCCCACCCTGTTTACATTTAGTATGGTTAATCGAGCTGTGTATGTTGTCACTTTTTATGATTTTGTACTACTGCTCTTACGTAGCTGAAAGGAGTACAACTATGGGTTCAGGCCCTTCAGCTTCGATTGTTGATCCATTCCGGGCAACTTCATTAGCCGCATCATTGCCTAACTCCGTTTAGGCATTGGTAGCATTCAAGTATAAGTCCGGAATTAATAACATTGCTGTTTAGGGACTATAAAATTGCTTAGCTATCGGAAAGTATGTGGATGGAATGATTTCTCACCCTTGCGACCTGCCCCACCCTGCGATTGATGGCGCCGATACATTCAGTCTGGTAAACAGAATTCCTATAGTCATTTTTATTTGTATATTTAAGTCTTCCGAAAATGTTACGAAACCAATACCCGACTCAGGTTTAGCATGTTTAATCCAATGTATTTCATGAGCTTTAAATATTAGCTATTGCTATAAACAGACATCGATTTTATGTAGGTTTTATTATAATATATTTTAGAATGGGGAACCACTGGGTAGTAACAAAAGTGGTTTTGTTTTATTAATAATACTAATGATGCTGTTTGCACTACTACTTAATACTCCTTTAACCACCTTATCTAAGCCTAAAATGTTTGTACTAGGAGTGGTTCACAACAGTAGTCTATTGGTGGATACTATACTATACTATACCCACGACTTTTGAATTTGTCGGTTGCTATTCTTAACCATTAGACTCTTGTCTCCTTATTTATATATAATTAAGCACCCAAAGCAATGAAGAATTCAGAAAAATGTGTTCCTGACTAAAGGGTTTAAATAGGTAGCATAATTACATGTTTTGAGGCTTTCTAGTCCTCAAAGGTTACGACATATCTTTAGCCATCTTTGTTAGAAGTTGACTGCAGATGTACATGGACTGCAGAAGCCACTTATCAGGTGGTCTGTAAGTTCGTTTGTCACTTCAGTTTTATAAAATATTACAGTAATAGAAATAATGTCCTGGGAAAAAACCAGTGAAACACTCAGTGAGACCTTTTTTTTGGAAAAAAGAACAGTTTCAAATCATTTATTAGGTTACTACTCATTTAACAATTAAAAAAAAATAGTTTGGTAGCGTTAACCTCATTTCCAGAGGTTATTGTCATCCATAATAATGCCTGGCAGTAAGGAAAATAAGTATATTATTTTGTTTATTATATTTAAAATCTATGGACTAGCTTATTACACGGGGTAGCACGCTGAAATGGAGCGGGTCTGTAATGGGCAGTAGTAGTAAAAAATCTAAACTGGTTACGTTTACCTCAGAGGACTCTTGTCATCGATTTTAGAGAAAACAATAGTTGTATTCTAAGGGTCTTTCAAACAGCTGTACTTGTGCGCGTAGTATTGAAACACATCGAGTGCCTATTAAATGAGATGTGAACGCGATATACACAGTATACTTTCGCAAACGTTGAAGCCAGTCTCCAGTTTATATCGGTTCAAATACACAGTAACTTCCATAAATGCTCTAACCACTCGGAATTTATTATTAACTAAGGATAAGGATCCTGCGCGTATTTAAAAACAGAACGCTAATTTAGCGTAAAGCGTCGTGTTTCCTTGTGCGTAATTCATCAGTCTTGTGAATTTGTTTACAATTTATTTGCGAAATACGCTCTAACAAAGAACGAACAATCAGATTTAATTGAAAGTTATGTTAATAGTAGAAATTAAGTATAATCCTCAACGCCGTTCGGCGTCAATAGTGATTAGTTCAGTTTTAATATGCGAAGAAAAACGGGAAATTTAAGAAAAGTTATAAAAGCCATAGCCAAGTTACCTACTACGTAAGAAGTTGAGCATGTTCATTTAATGTTCTTTATTGTCACTAGTGTTTAAAGACTCAGTTGTGCTGAAACTGCAGTAACAAACGAAAGTTACAGTCCACCTGATGGTAAGAGGCTTCTGCAGTCCATGTACATCTGTAGCCAACTTCAGATAAAGAAGGATGCAGATGCCTTGTTACCTCAGACCTAAGATACAATGTATCACTACCTGACTGAAACATGCAGCGTAGGCACTCGTATATGACCGCAGAAATCGGTTAGATGATGGTACCTATCCAGACCGACTCCTCGGCAGAAAAGAAGTTCTTCCACCTAGTACCAGGGTGATGGAATCTCTTAACCGAGTTTATTTTAAAGTTATTAAAGTTCACATTTTTATGAATTGCAATAATTTGAAATTCTTCCTGCTCCGCGATCACGCCATAGTAATTATTTGTTACGAATTGTATTTTACGTACCTATACGTATTTTTCTGACGTAACAATTAAAATGTAAGTAGATTAAATTTTGCATTCAAGTTACCGAGTATATGGGATGCAATTAAACTGCACAAGTGACCTGTAGGTCATTGCTGCATAACGTAAGTACACTTTCTGTGGACTTACGTTAGTTAAATTTACCGGGAAAACTTTGAAAGCTGTATTTTTTTCTTTTTCTTTGTTATAGAAAAAGGGTGACAAACGAGCACACTTTCCACCTGATGGTAAGTGACTGCTGTAGCCTATAGACACTTCATCTATTCTCGATTAAGAATTAATGTAGATGTGTTGTCACCCCTGAAGACTTAAATAGAATGTCTCATTACCACTAAAAATGGTGTCCGGGCTTCTTTTTTTTTTTCTATTTCTCCGGTCTTCTATTTTTCGCCGATATTATGTGACAGGCGTAGCCCTTCCCTGATCGACTGACCCATTAGTGCTGCAATCATAATTTAGGTGCCGCGTGGCTCTACCACGTTAAATAAGTTAGTAATTTCTCTTTAGTTCAATAAATTTGGGCAAGGACTACTTGTCATAATGTGCATTCAGCCCAAAATTAATATATATATGATGCTTCGCGTTTCGTCTTTGTTGTCTAAGCCAATTTTGATCGCAGCGACAGCTTGTAATCTTCGAAAGTTGTAGTTGTTGATTGCGAATGACCATTTATTAAATCAAAATTAATTGATTTCGTTCATAATCATCATCAGTATTACAGCCCTTCACAAATCCTCTGCTCAACACAGGCCTCCCTCAAAGAATGTCACAAAGCACGAGATAATAATATAAAATACGATATTTCAACTCGACTCGTGTAGAGCTTATAGAACCCGCGCGGATCACGCGGATTTTAGCCAATTAATTTGAAATGAATTATCGCACAGTATTACCTAATGTGCGAAAATTCATTTCAAATTAATTGGCTAAAATCAGCGTGAAAAAAAATCTAGCAAATAGTCTATATTAGAGTGTATATATGTGTATTCATGGTATTTTGGCGGAGTATTAATATTTACTACCCCATATCGTTCCGTGGGTGTCGCAAAAGGCGTTAGAGGGAAGCAAACCAGGAGATGGGCAGCAGCATCTTGCTAATAACAATAAAAAATAAAAAATAACGGTTGTTAACCCGCCTACCAAGCGTGGTTACCATGGCAAATATCTCCCCTATGAGGCAGTATATGCGGGGGAGGCCAATGTTCAGGAGTGGACTTCTGATGTGGGCTGCAATGATAATAATTATGATGATATCCTATCCTATATACCTAGTCAGGTCATAAGTATTGTCACACAGTAAAAACTTTTCTTTAAGAATGCTGGCGACAAAAAAGTTTACTGAATTCGAATTTCGAATTGTTCATGAAAATATAACTGTATACTTTTTAGAATTTTACTCATTTTTAAATAAGGAGTGGACGCTTAAAGAAGACCGTGTTGCAGTTATTGCGTTGCATCGTTGCGGTTGCGCGCCAATTCAAATTTTTGACATACTGAAAAATTTGAATATAACCAAAAGATTCGTTTATCGTACCATCAAACGATACAATGAAGACTCTAAGTGTAGATAACAGGTCAAGAAGTGGTCGCCCTCGGTATGTTAGGACTCCAGCAGTGATAAAAGCTGTGAAGGCGCGAATTCAAAGAAATCCCAAACGTAAGCAGAAACTGTTGGCCCTTCAGATGGGGTTAAGCAGAACCACGGTGAAAAGGTTGTTAAATGAAGACTTAGGGCTTCGGGCATATCGAAGAAAAACAGGACATCGTTTGAATGCTCGTCTAATGGACCTGAGACTGAAGAGATGCCGCGCTTTGTTGAAGCGGTACGCGGGAAAAAAATATCGGTAAATTCTTTTTTCGGATGAAAAAATTTTTACCGTAGAAGAGAGCTACAACAAACAAAATGATAAGGTGTACGCACACAGTAGTGAAGAAGCGAGCAACCGTATTCCGCGTGTCCAACGA